AATTATGGGTGCTAAGTGAGTTGGGGGGCCACGCGGCGCGGCACTCTGCGTCTCTCCAGCGAGATAGTGGATAAGCAAGAGAACTCGAGCCCGTGACGGTGTTTAGGGGCGTTTCACAGCTCTTTTATGTTATAACTGCGTATTTTTCACCTAATTCTAGGAAGAGGAGGGGCTCCGGGGTGGGTGAGCCAATTGGACGTTCAGCTTTTATCTCATCTCAGCTTTTTGAACGAGATAACCATCTCACCCACCCCGGAACCCCTCCCCTTCCCAAAAATAGGATTTTATCGGCTCAGAAGAAGACTATCCATAATATGCAAGCATATAACATGTGTCAAGAGGTAATTTGTTTTGAATCACGAAAGACTTCAGTACAACCTCACCATCCCTTCCCAGACCCAGGCGCACTACTACTATCTCGCTACGGAGGGCGCAGACATGGAAAGGCGCCGCGCCGCCGCGTGGCCCCTCCCAACTCACCTAGCACCTAATTATGATCAATAGTGACCTATGATAGTAAACAGTGACAAATGATATATGCTCATATCAATCCGGGTGAGCATGTAGTGGGGAGGGGAGGAGGGGTGTGAGGTACTGCATAAAAGTGAAGGTTTAGACGACTGCGAAATTTCCGTCCACACTATTCTTATTATAGAACATGGGAGCAGTCGAAGTTACCAAAGCGGACCTTCGAACTTCATCCCTTTCCCACCGCTGCCCGATGAGAACATATGGGTTTCTTAGGGCTCTTAATGTGTAGGACTATTTCAGTAGTGAATAGTGTCTCTAAATTCGAACGAAAAAAGACTATGAACCTCCCCAAATGGGAAAAACTTGGCTTTTACCGTTTTATTCATCAAGGCCAAACATCTACACTACCGACGTATGTTCTAATTTAAGAGCAATTGGAAATGAGCTGTACTATGAGCTGTGGAACAGATGAAAACATCAAATGCGAAAACAAAAATTTTATAGAAAAAATCAGCACTACACGCCGTAGAGAAGGCAGCTCAGAGAAGACTTCAACACATAAAATATGAGCAATCAAAATGAACAATGGCTTGTTTTATTGCGTTTTGTTTTTTTTTTAATTGAAGCAGGCTGACTAAAATGCATCGAATCTTCTCGGATGATTTGTTTTCGACTGAGCTCATTGTAGCTCAACATATTTCGATGAATTTCATAGCATAGCAGTTCACTCGAAGAGACTCCCTACGAGGACACCAATCACTGTGGAGTCGTTGTCGTTGTAGTGTCGGTTACAGTTTTCTTCTTGTAATACTTAGTAGTTACGTGCCTGAAAAAATAGTTTTTCAACTTTAAATATTATAGCTATCTATTCTGAGAAGGATATTCTGATCTCTGTAAGGAGGGGAGGGAGGGGGGAGGGGGTCATCTCTCCGGCCATCATAATTTTGAATGAGTGTGGTACCATCTTCTCTAAAATCCCTCGCGCTCGCCGCACGCGATCGCGCGCTATGGAGGAAAAAGTCGGAATTCCAGTGGATGGATACGGTAGCCGCCGCGGACCCAATCCCGCTAGCCGTGCGAATTCGGGGAAAAGTCCGCTATCCCACGACTTCACACAATAGATCTAAAGGCAGCTAGTGCAACTCCTGCAGTGATTTCCTATTATGGAAATGTTAAATTTCAAATGCTCGGGAGGATGGCGAAATTCAAAAAACATCATCTGGGACCTCGAAACGTAAATGGTATGCGAGAAAACGGAGGGCTGTACGCAATAGAATCAGATCCGCCTGAGAAGGTAGAAATAGTGACCTGATAAGCACTGCTTTGCTTCCGAAACTTATTCTTTGAACCTTGTGGTGCAATTGTGAACGGGTGTTGCTATCACGGCTAACTCTGTTCATACAGATGAAAGAAAAAGTCAGAAGGACATACTTTGCAGTGTCTAATAAAACAAAATAAACCTCGAGATTACACCGGGCTCCAAATCGGTTTCCACAACCCTTTTTTCTTCCTCCTTTAGAAGGGCATATTCCTTGCCAGGGTCAACAGCAGTTTGCGTTTCACGCTTGTAAGAGACGTCATGACCCTGTTGGTCTCGATAGCCACCCTAAAATTAAGTAAACATTGAATTTCCAAAAAATGCTTCTGGGTAGAATTGCTCTGATAGTGAGCTTTTAATGGACCCAATTTGGAGCGAAGGGTCATTACTATCATATTGAGCCGAAATCAGCCACCCTAATCCTCACCTAAGCCATTGTGAGAGATCTTCAAAAATTTGGATATAGGGAATGTGGGCGATGCCCTACTTTTCAAGCAGGACCATTTATGGGGTCACCAGAACCGTGAAGCCGGAAGCGATAGTAAATCTGGTCCTCATATGGTCGCTAACACCTCAGTAATAAATGAACACTCGGACCGGCTTTCTTTTACTTCTATTCCTCTTCGCGCTCATCACTCGCCCAATTCCCAGCCCCTCATGAGCGCGGTAGAACCACCATTTTCGAGTTCCTTAACAACAGTATAAACCAGTTACCTGTGTGTTAGCATGTGTATTGCTAATACTTCCTAATGGAAGAGTTTCGTTCATTTCTTCTCTTTTGTTGAAAACATCCTGAACGGAAAAGTTGCGGTTGCCGTCCGAAGTATAAACGGTGGTCGTTCCTGGGATTGTCCTAGAAAATCAAATAGATGTCTTCGCACAGTATTTGATGAATGAATGAATGAAAACTTTCTTAAATGAAAAGTTTGTAACGAAATTTCTGTAAGCATTTTCTTATAAAAGACACGTAGTCAAATGGATGATATCACCCCAATGTAGCGCGCGGTTGCGACGCGGCAACCAATGCTTTAGTAGACGGTAACCGCTAGTCTCTTCGCATTCACATGCTTTTAATTATCGTCGTGTTCTACTATATCTTCTATTGGAACAAACATTATTTTATAAAATATTGAAAACAAAGTAATAAAAAAAACAAATGATGAGCATTTACTTGGTTTCCGTCTTCTCTTCCACATTCCTCTTGAAACTCTTCTGTTCACTGAATTGGCTGAGCTGCGAAACAGGGCGGCTTGTCTCCTCGCGATGAGTCTGAAGATGAGAACTGAGGGAAGCTGTAGGAATAATCGATAATTGGTTATGAATGTCGTTGTCCAATAATTTGAGTGTTAGAGCTAATCATTCACTACAGATTTTTCAAGGCTCTACCTCCTCCCTATGTCTGCTCATATGTGCCTGATAGCTGGACTGAGATGCTGGTGCAGGCTGTGGAGCAGATCCAGTAGTGCTCTGAATAATGAAAATATAGAAAGAAAAATCAACGTCTCAATGAACCACACTTCCTTTCACAATTATCGAAGGGTCTTCAGGCACAACGACGACCTTACCATTAAAAACCGTTATCAGAATCCCTTCCGGGTACGAGTAGAAAAGCATGAGTAGTTGATTATCGTCTCCTCAGCCTTCGCAGGATACTTTTTTTAGGACAACTGTCAAGTAAAGAGTCAGGATTTGTCAGAAGGGTGCTGCCATAGATGATCGCCCACACGTTCAGGAGTGCCTTCATGACTTGCTCTGAACCCGCTTCCATTTTCGTATGAGTATGCAGTTGCACTGCAAGTACTGAGGGCTCAACTGGAAAGACTGAGGCAGACAACTTCCGCAGTACTTGCACAAATTACGGTAGCACTTGATGGTTTGATACCGCTAGCTCATAGCCAGTTCCTGTAGTGGTCCCTACTTGAGAGACAATTGCCCGATTGGATTTAGTGTTTCCCACAGTGAATGACGATGGATACTTGTGGGACAAAAAGTACTAGCCAAAAGGATCGCAATGCAGTTCTGATCTTCGTAAGCATGTACTGCACAGTTTTTTCAGTTGATTCTTCCGATCAAGATCTCATGGAAGTCGTCGAAAGCGAAGTATTTTGATTTTTCGACCAGTTTAAAGCGCCGTGAAGGCACGTTTTCTTGAAAGCCATATGTTTCTCGTAGCATTCCCATAGAACAGCTGTTCCCTTGTAAATTAGAGCCCTCGGAGCGGGAGATCGGAAATCGTAGAGTCCTTTTCATCACTTACTGACCTTTTCAGTATGCGAAGTGAAGCTGGACTGCGTCATTTGCACCGGAGCAGGTTGCGAGGGAACTGACTGCTGTAACCAGCTCGCCTTCAACTTTTGCCGTACCTTACAATGATAGTCTACAAAATGGTTACCTGTGAGTAGTTGTATGTCGTGCTCTTCGTGATTGGGAGATTGGTAGTGTGGGTGATCATTGGCTGTGGTTGAGTGGTTGTTGTGGAGGTTGTTTTCTCCTAAATTACAACTTCAATAGCTCACAGCAACGTCTCAATAATATCAGTTGGTATTCACGTCAGCATTTGCGTCCCCCAACCTATTGACTACTGGAGAATCTCAGGTCAACGGAAGTCCGATCCTGTGAACCCCACAAGGCGATATGCCGCCTCTAACCACTGCGTCATGTGGACATCCCAGCCAAATGTTCATAACAGAATCTTATCCTTGGAAAAAACCCGAAGTGCACAAACGCTATGGGATATGATGATTCTATACTTTCTCACCTGTTTCGAATAATGCGAGCTCTGATAGCTCTTGTACGATCCCCCAGGCGAATGCATGATTACTGGGTTCTGAAACAAGCCAAAGTCATTTTAACAATAGCAATGACCAATTGGTATTCTCGGATTGAGAAAGTATAAAGAAAAATACCTGAGTTGTGTGGGTTTCAGTATGGTAGCTTGTGCTGTAGTTCTGAGGGGTCTGTACAGAAATTGGAGCCGTCGAAGATTGTACTATGTAAGATTTGTTGAATGAATCCTAGAAGGGACGTTATTAGAGTAGCAAAATGTTCAATGAAGCAAATAGTCAATTTTGGAACAAATATCCTTAACTGGAGGCTTAGTTAGCATATTGTATGAGCTTACTGTAAGACAATATGTAGAGATACTGCTCCTAGAAGTTTTTGAACCTATGAAGACATGGATGTGATCTCTTCTAATGGGACACTCACCATTTTAGCGAGCTTGATTGAAAGTAGAGCCAGTAAAGCTGTTTACCAAGAGATTCAGTTAAGACAGAGTTAGTATAGTCTGTGCCTGCCGCTTGACATGAAGGATATCAGTATTAGCACGGCAGTGTAATAGTGCTTGCAGTTTTTCATAACAAGACTTGATGAGATTTTTGTGAGAAGGAGCTGAGAGCCTGGCATTACGTGGCATTTTTAGTCCACTAACCGGAATTTATCATTTGTCGAAGAACAAAGAGCAGATGTACAGCCGATGAGGCAGTTTTAATGTACTCATCCAAATTTATTATTCGGTGAAGTTCCGGAAAAAAATCAAGTGATTCTACACCAGAGTGCCCCAAGCTGTCCGTCTGAATATGGCCAAATAACAGTAGGATGGCCTTATTGGCCTAGGCCCTGTTGAAATGCCTGCTTCTCTACGTCCGAAAATTGTAAGCCGATGTAGCACTGGCTGAGTCTTGAAATGAAAATGCGAACCTGATTGCTCTGCATCGGTACCCCACGGCTTGTTTCTTGCTTCGACGATTCAGTTCTATGATAACTGCTTTCCTGAAATGTGCAAAAATTACCCTCAGATTCAGCTCACATTCAAATGTCTACAATCGCTAGTAGTAGCTACATTGTAGTTGCATTAAGTAGTACTCTACAACTATACTTCATTGTAGTAAACGAAGCTACTGGTCCTAAACAAATGATAATTAAGCGTTCACATTTGACAAGTGTCTTGCACACACTTGCCCCACGCCCAATTATCTTTTATCGCGGACACAACTCTGTATACAACTGCAATCGAAAATCTAGTAGTAGAAATTATTTTTAATAGGAACCGAATCTGCTACTGTGTTATGTATTACTTTAAACTAATTTGGCAAATCTAGAAACTAGGCTTCAGCGTGTTAAAATAGTGATACGCATACACGAAAGTAGATACGGTCGCCCTCGAGCGGCGCGGCTGCGCTGCGGCAACACCATCTTTCTCTTCTCCTTGTTTGGAAGCTCGGGAGCTACCTGATCTGATTACTAACTAAAGGTTTGTTTTTTGCTAAGTTTCGTTAGTCAATGAACTGAATGCTATTTCCCGATTCCAGTACGAGTGGTTCTCAAATAAAAGTTACAAGTTGTGCTAAGCTTCAGGGAGCTCTAAGTTGATTAGAGAACCTATTCGTTACTTCATCTATACAATGAGTGAATGAGGCAGTGAGAGGAGTCCTGACCTTCTCACGGTGTACGGCAGCTCTTAGCTAACTGCCTCGTCACGTGGCATTCCGTTCAGGACTCCTCATCGTCACCCTAACTGAATAGCTACGATTCTAATCTAATTCACAGTTCAGATAACCTTAAGCTCTGATTGTACTGGTCGTACAGGAATGGTGGTGGTGCGAGTTTCCTCTTTCGAGGAGTGATGCTTTTCGAAGTGCTTTGCCTAAATAGATATTGCGTTCTTTTCTCTTCAAAAATCAACTTCTGCTTACAATGCCACTCACGGTGAACTTAGGAGGAAAGCAAGGTGTTATTAGTGCTCCAGTAACGTGACGTCACATGCGCTTATGTGCAACAAAGTACTAAGGCGAAGATACAGAGAGGAATGAAAGAGCTGCACCGACATGTGAGTTTGTTAACTGCCTTTGAAGAAATTCCCCAAAACTTGAATGGTCCCGCTTCAAGCAGAACTCAAAAGGAACTTCCTCCCCCTATTAACGTTGAATTCACATGTTGTCGTATTAACATTTTTCTTGTTGCCTACTTGACCTAAGACCCTCATCATGTCTTTCGCCCAAGTTCTTATGTGTGCCCAGTCGGAAAGCTCACGAAGGAATAATCGCATAGGAATTCATGAGACCTCAACCAATGCCTGAAAATTCTTTCATTCGAACTGCCTCTCATGTCTACCCTCACTCGTTTTCGTAATTCGACAAGGTAGATAGAATAAGTTTTACTGAATAGAATTTCAGAAGCTAATGGAGCTGTTCTTACGTAACCATTTGGCGCAATTTATTCTAACCCTGGCTGTAATGCTGGAGAGCTCACAGCCAGGTTCACGACCAGCGACAGCTTCTATACACGGGATGCTTCCCATATCACGACGAAGGAATATCGTTGCGTCATGAAATTCCAGCTAGGACCAGCTGGTCCATAGGGCGCAAATTTGAAAGCTATCTGGTCCCAAGTGTGCTGGGTGCTGTGTCTTATGGCAGTTAAACAGAATAGCACAGAGGTGAGTACATTTTCCCGTACATTATTCAGTACATTTTTCACGTTTTTCCCTAATTGTCGTTGTGATTGTTACTACGTGAAGCGAAAGACGTGAGTGAGTTGGTCCACTATGAGTTGTGCAGCAAGACTCCGGACCAGAATGCTACTGCGAATGTATTAAGGTAGATACGAACTCGTTTCCGTGTTTTCCGTTCATGGTAGTAAGCTGCTGGTCAGGTTGAACATAATGAGATTATCCTTTCCTCAATCATCGATATTATCTGACCATCAGTAGGTGCTGTTAGTATGAGTGATGAAAGGGAATATTATAACAGGAGACTAGGTAAGAAAAGGAAGGCAAGCATGAGAAAGCAACAGTTGACAGCTGCTCTAGCAACGATCGAAGGAGTTCTTTCCATGAAAAGGAAAAATGACCTCCGACATTTGATTCGTTTGTTGTATTGGAATGGTACGGGCTTGTTCTGACGTGAACATTTTTTGGAATCTCTCGGCCTAAATAGTGACTCATGCTGTTGAAGCAAAGAAAATCAAAAATCTACTGTC